CAAATATTAAATATGATAACAACGATCGAATACGTAAAATCTATGCTGCATACAAGGAACTAGAAACAGCACGTGATACCATACTCTCACCTGAATCATTTCAGGAATTAAATAATTATTTACAGAAAGTTGATGATAGTGCAAGAGATGAAATGAAAGAAAAATTTAACATATTAGTTCAACAATATGTTAAAATTTTACAATGCTTAGAGTTTGTTGATAAAGAAACCAAAGCTAGTGCTTCTGATAATTACATCAGTGATATAAAGAAAAATATATTGAAATTGAAGGAGCTACATGGCAAGCCATCATATACGATCTGCATTGTTGGCTTAGAAAAAGCTGGGAAATCAACATTTGTCAATGCACTTCTTGGTTATGAACTTTTGCCAACGGCGAGTGAAAGGTGTACTCAGATACGCACCGTGCTCAAACCACCACTTGGGAATGGCGATCAGCAGCTGTTTGCCACTGTCAAGTTTTACGATGATCAGGAGTTTCATTTATTCTTTGGTAAAATGACAAAGAAAACAGATGAAAATCCACAACAGTTGCAACAACGTAAAGATCAGGTGATTCAAGCACGAGAAATGTTAAAAGCTAAATTTCCAGAAGAACATTTTCGTATTACTGACCTCAGTGATGCAAAAAGAGAACGTATGGCTATTATTAAATACTTACATAATTATATAACTGGAGAATTGTATGTTAATATTATTAAGGAAATTGCAATTTATACGGATAAGCTACCAGGTATGTAGTAAAGAAGATCGAGCTCTTTTAGACATCCTCAGAAAGAACTGAAAATCATCGAGCCAGACGATTTTAACCGCGATTTTCGCATTAGGTCGTTTCAATTCTGAATTCTATATAATTTGAATTTTATGAAACTTTAGTTCTAAATCGTTAATAAATGTGGAAACATCGGATTTAAATCCACGTGTTATGTGTACTTCAAAAAGTGAACTCAACAGATGAGTCAACCTAGCACGTGTACGCATCAAAACTATCCTAGGGAGCCCCTTCTATTAAAACTTGATTTCTATTGGTTACTGCTCAACCAATAGGATTTCGAGGCAAGTAGGGCTCAGCTTCGAGTTCTCCGTCGTAGAAAACCTCGAACTATCATCTCTGTGATCGGAAGATGGAGCTTTACTTTTCGATCGATTGAAACGTGGACAAGAACAGAACCAATTTCCGATTAAGTATCTTTGCAATAAGTGACTTAGCCTTCTTGTTTCTTAATGTTTTATATACCATTTTGTAGCTCGTGAAATTCTCTATCGAATGGTATATAATAGTTGGGGTTTTGTTTGATTATGAGAGGACAAGTTTTTTACGAAAAGCGGGATAGGTCCATGTTCACATAGAAAAGCATAGGGAATAATGATTCTTTTTCCGATAACTCAGCAATGGCTCGACGAATCTATCTCATCTTTGAACTCGACCGAGATATTGATGAGACGAAACTGTGAAGAAAATTTCATCGCGATCGGACTCTTCTTTCGAAAGTTATCGTGTAAACGGCCGGACACACTGACCGATTCTATAGTGTACTCACTTTTTGAGTACATGAAAACGACTAAAACGCTTGTTTTGAGGGCAAACTATGTTTACATAAGTTCTCATGGGTAGGAACTATTTGACTTTTCTTCCACCATGCTCACCCGCCGTCGGTTAAAAACAATTATTAACCATACGAACTGCTGTTTGAACAATATAAAACTCGTGTTTCGAAAGTTTTGAACTACGTAGAGACACGGCTGGATAGTTTTAAATGAATAAAAATGCAAATACTACCAGAAAACACGCTAAATCTGCGTATGTTGACAATTATATCTTTTAACTTCAAGATGTGTGTATGCATACCTTTGCCATATTTAATAATCCATTCCATTTTAACAATCTCTAAGTATTAGAGACTAGATCAGCCTTGTTTGTGCTAACTTGATCCTTTCCTTTTATATTTGACAGGCAAGAACTACGAACTTCTAGATGTTCCTGGTTTTGACTCCCCCATTAAAGAACATCGTGATGCCGGCTTACAAGCTATAAAAACAGCTGACGCTTTCCTTTTTCTTACCAACGGTCAACAACCAAGTCTAACTGAACCACAGATCCGTCTTCTCCACGAAATTCAACAAAATCACTTTGAAGCAATGCAACGTGCGTTCGGTATCATCACCAAACTTGACTTATGTCAAACTCCAACAATCTATCAAGAACATTATGATAAAGCTTCTACTGAACTCATTGATAAACATTTTAAACCAGAACATATTTATGCTGCCTGTCCACGGATACAAATTCTGGATGAAAACTCCGAAGAATTTCGTGTTATTAATCGTAAACTACATAGTTTTGGTGGCGATTTGGAACAGGGATTTGAACGAAGTAAAGATGGTCTCAATAAATTTATTGAATTTGAATTACCGAAAACACATTTGAAACAACTAGTTAATTTGGGACGGATGCGATTGGTTCGACATGTGTTGGAACGACTTGATAAAATCAAGCAAACTCAACTCTGGCCACAGAATCTGGCTATGACGTCAATTGATGAGTATATTAAACAACACAACACCGAGAATTGGGACCAAGTTTACTATGAATATATCTTTCAACCTGCTTTTGCCAAAGCCAATCACTGGCATACTACTATTGTTACTAAAGAACGTGCAAAATTTGTTGATAATGTTAAAAAGAAATTCCATGACTCTTTTCTCGACCTTACCGACGAATTTCTTAAATACACACATCCCATTGAACAACTGATGTTTGAAGCACATGGTTACTCAAAACTTCAGTTGAATTCACATCCAACAGATAACGATGTACGCGAAAGACTAAGTATTGAACTGGAGAAAATTGTTGGCCAAACATCAAATATTCTTGCAGAACATTTCTATCATCAATATATCTGTGAACTGGAAAATATTCTCAATGATATTTGCCCACAATTGAAAGATTTATATCGTACAAAGTTAACATTGGAAAAGTGTACACATGAAACATATGCATTAATTCTAAGAGTTTGTCGTCCCGTAATTATGGCAACTCTGAGATATTCACATTTAGATTTGCCCGTTAAACAGGATGCAATTAATGAATTGATCTATATTGCGCCGACTGTAGCATTTAATATAGCGAATATTCCAGATCAAGATGGTGATGTCGGAATACTTGGTAAGGAAATACCCAAATCAGCGGAATTATTGGCTAATAGAAGTGAGATGACAACGTCGCTTATTAAAACACTTTTCAAATAATTGACAGTGCTTGTATTATTGAATTAAGAAACTATACTCACAGTTTTTCGTCTGTTCTCACATTATCAGCTACTCTATGACACATATAATTCAGTTTGCACTATATAAAAATAATGCTTCTTACATTTCTTGAGAAAGACTTAGCTGGAAGGATGTGGGTTGAGAGTGTCGGTGTGGGTACGGATGTGGTGTGTAAGTGTGAGTTTGGATCTCTATAAATTGACTAATCATTCACACTCACACCCACAATTAAATGAAGAACAATTTGGAAATACACAAAATAATTGTTCCATTGTAGCACTCACACAGGAAGAACAGAATATAGGCGAATACACACGACTTTTTTATTTTGCTTTAAACTTTACCTTATAGTTTATTTTCTTATGCAATACGGAATTCTCGCGATTATTTCTTCTATTGCAAAAATATTGGGTTGTAATATTCATGATGAAATAAGAATCTCAATTATGATATCAGAATGTACGTGTTGCTAATAAGATCCTTCTCGAATTTCGAGAGGATTGACATCTTCAAGCTGTCTCAGCTTCTCCCACACCTCATATGCTGCATTTGGAATGGTTCGTGTTGATTTTAACCATTCAGCTTCGAAAACCGGTGCACATGCTTCATCAATATCTTTATAAGAGCTGTTTGTGTTCATTATTCGATCAGCATGCTCGAGGTAATTACTTGTGAGTCATTGTTTGAAACTTTCTCTATCTGAATTTATAGTAATGCGGTGACCACCGTAAAACTTACGAGACGACTTCTTGCCATTTGGATTTGAATTAAACTGATTACCTGTTACTCTATAAGAGAAAAGTTGCGTGAGTCGGAATAAATGCCTGTGTACAATTTCACGTACACGTTCATTAGTTAACGCTGGCTTAGACTCATACCAAATAAACCTCCAATGTAGATTAAGAGAATCGATGTCGCCCGAAAAATAGTTCCGAGGTTGCCGACCTTGATGAGGATAACTAAAAAATTGGGTGGAGTGTGGGTGGGTGTGGGTGTGAGCGTGGCTGAGGGTGTGGAGTGGTGTGGATGTATTGAACAGACTGACACCCACACCCACACCCACACCCACACCACCCACACCCACACTCACACCCACACCCACACCCACACCCACACCCACACCACACACACCCACCCACACCCACACCCACACCCTCATGATTTAAACACGTGGAAGAATAGAGTTAGTAATAATATTATACATATATATATGTAGATGAGAGAGAATTACCAAAAAAATCTACCGTTTCTTTCTTTCTAGTCAATAGGCAGAAATATGGAAAAGCGAAAGTGCATTTAACATTTTTCGAGTCAAAATTTCACGATACAGAGAAAAAGAAGCAAGTATGTATGGTAGACAGTGTCATTTGCATTAGATTCAAAAGAAAGCGATAGAACATAGTGGTGATCGAAGTGAATTATGTCGGAACGACTAATCACTTGTCGTTATGCGACTTAAATTGGTTGAAAACCCTCATGCACCAACAATGAAAAGATACTTCTCTCTCGAAAAAATCATATTTTTGACACGTTACAGATACTCAATATAACTTGAATAACTTTTGAACACTACAAGATAAAAAGTTCGAACTTTCGTAGATTAAAAGAGCAGACTTTGCGCTATCGAATGATCACCTTTGGATTAAAAATCTATTTGAAAACGTTTTTGTCCGATAGGGCATAAAATCTTCAACGGTAATTAACAGCCTTGAACACTCACTCACCTACTGAATTTAATGTAGATTTGTCCCCGCAAGACCACTCTTTCTAACGCTGAAAAGATGAGCTCGCTAGCTACATCCATTCGCAAGATATTACTCCTACAGTTTTCTCCATCTATTTTTGGCGCCGACATTAGTGGTTAGTCATATTTTCTTACACAATTACAAATCATTTTCAATTAGTAGGTTAATTATTAGAAGTTAAAATACACACATGCATGTGAATATCATAAAAAAAGAAACTTAATGTACTGATAGTTTATTCAAGTCTTATAATGAATATATGAATGTCAATTTAAATTTTGAATTAAGATCATTTGAAGATTTTAGTGACAATCAGGAAAATAAAACAGAAAAGATAAACATGTAAAGATTATTGAAAATAAAAATAACCAATGATCAATGCCCTTGTTCATAATGCCACTTTGTGATCCTTTCAGATATTGATTGGCTTCTCGAATTACGATTTGATCAAGATCGGATGAACAAATCGAATTCGACCACTGTTGAAGAAGTTTTTTGTAGAGTTTATTTGCTTCGTTTCTCTTTCCAATTTGAGCATATGCTCTGGCCATGCCGAGCAAATTAACAGCACGATGTGGAGCAGTACTGTTTTGTTTTGCATAGAGATTGAGAGCAAACAATGGAAAAGCAGTGACTGCTACTGTTGTTTTATTGAGAAAATAGGTCGATTGATATGTTGGATAATATCGGTGAATAATCAGTAGATAGAAAGCGAAAAGCTCTGCTGATCGAATGTAAAGAAGAGATGGAACATTAGGATCATTAGCAAGTGCCTCTTCAACTTGAGTAGCATTGTCGAGTTCAGTAAGACAATTCACCAGAGAATCCGATAGACACCAACGAAGAGCAGTTATTTGCGAGATCATCAAAGAAATACTAATTGAAGTTGACTTACTCATAGAATATGCTATCGATGACAGCCGAATTAATCGTGATAAATGATTATCAAGTGCACTGCTTCCATTTATGCTACTTATATTGTGCACCAACAGTCGAATACATTCCGCTACAATAAAATTTCCACTTTCAAAGGACAAAATTTAGTTAAAAGTAGAAGTTATAATATCACATGCGTGAAAAGTTTGTAGGGTTATTCTCATTCTATCGTGCCACATTGATTTTTTTTGATATTTGAATAGTTTCTTTCGAAATAGAACACAACTCAAGAGGGTGAATAATAATTATAAAGTGGTAAATTTATTTTAAGAAAAATCCAGAGAGAAAATCTACAATCGTTTACTGGTCACCGACACCGATAATTGTCTTGTTCAGTTGTAATTTCGTGGAACTCATGCCGAATACCATAAGGAAAGATATTCAAATACAATTGCATATCAGTTTATAAGACTTGCTGAGACTACAAAAATCCTGAAAGCATTTATTCCTTTATGTTCTTAATTTGTTAGTATATTACTAGGTTTGCAATCCGAATCAAGGAATGTATGAAAAAAAATGGTATTAGATAGAAACTTTCTGATCGAAACCATTAAACAGGTTTCATGATTGTCTGATAAATAGTTTTAAATTTCAGTTCAGAAGAATATGCTCTTTTTAAGACGACGAGTATGTATGACTGACCTTGGCTGAAAAAGACCAAACCTGAGACGGAGTGTAATATTTTTTTTTAAATCCAAGTGTCGAATCGCAAGCGTCTCGACGCGATTTTAGTTTGAATTGCGTCTGACCGCGATTTTGCTGGTAACCACATCTGAACGCGATTTGATATCGAATCGCATCTGGATGCAAGAAATGTTTCATCTGAACTGTGTTCGATTGCTGCGATTTAGATGCATAGTATATTTACATGGGTAGTTCAATAATGGCTTGATAAATCGACTTCAAATTTTCAGAAAGTGCTCTTCTATATTTGCCTGCTGCTCTCTGAAATTTTCCGACATATATCACTTACTAGACACAAGTGGCGTTATGGGTTGCGCTATGGTGAATATGGAGATATTATCTTAGATCTAGATACTCGACTATTCAAGCAATGGACCTCATATTTCGCATATATAGCCAGCATGCATGGAAGCATATTTCTATCAAAAAAAAAGTTCAAACATTCACTATGTATCATGGAAAGCAAGACAAAAATTTATATACTGTATTTTTTTGTCATTATGACAAAATTAAGTGAGCAATGGTTGAGAAGGAGGGTTGCTATCCATTTCGCAATCACCCAATTGATCTCACTCTTATTTCACTCTGATCAATCATCATCATGAAAGTTGTCAGAAAATTCTGCACAGCTTTTAATTAGATAGCTAAATATAGTTTGATTCTTTTATAGAAGTCCGACATTATCGTAACGTGTTTTTTTATTTTTAGTACCTAAAAAATCGATAAAATGCTTTCAATATGAACAAATATGTAGTATTAAAGTTTATGCCTTGTTTTCCATGATACCTGGTGAAAATTTTTAACTATTTTTTGATAGAAATATGTTCGCATTAATCTTAGTTATATATCCAAAATATGAGATCCATTGCTTAAATATTCGAGTATTTAGAGTTCTACTCGAACCACAAGATCAAATGTCTCTAGCTATTTTTGAAATTTTAATAAATCATTAACACTGAAGACATGTGTCATTGTGTTATTTTTTCACAAGGAAAGATCGAAAAAGTTCATTTTTCGATTGACAACTAACGTTATTTTAACATTGAATAAATGTTAGATAAAATGAACTATCTCAAGTACTACAAAAAACCAAAATATTCATCACTTCATCAATACTTCCTACGAGATCGGCACTGCTTTCTTCTCAACATATTTTTATCATCTTCAGTTGAAATCAAGTTGTCAATGTATTATTTTTTGTTTCTTTGTTTTGTTATGCTTCATTCTTTTTATTCTGTCTTTCAACAGTCGAGAAAGTTTAATCTAGTGATTCGTACATCGAGCTCACTATTCTTAGAAAATGTACTTGAGAGACACACAGCAAAAAATATTTTATTTCAAGACGACATATTCAGATCGATTCACATACAAATGGTTATTTTTCACTTGTATTTCGGACGAGGATGAGTGATTATCCTCGTACTTTGAAGGTTACACTAAGTCTCTTATTGATTTCAAACATTACAACCAAAACCAATGAGCATTAATTATCAAAACCACCCACACCCTTTTTTTTCGTTAGCCCAAGTTGTAGAGCATGTTGAGTTGACTATAAATTACCTATTTCTTTTCGTTTAGGAACTGTTACTGAAGCCACCAGAAACATAGTTCTCT